AATAATGGTATGGTTCGTGTTGAAATATTGTGACAAGCAACTGCTTCTTGTTTTAATTATCAATCAATTCGATGTGCATCAATGACTCCAATTCGCTACCAGTAAGAGTACTCAATCTATCGAATAGAGCCACTTGGAAGCTCGCTGTTCCATGAACTGATTCATCAAATGTAGCCTGTTCTGTACACACACCCATGACAGCGAAACCGCCGACAGCTGCAACCAAATAATCATTAGTGACACCGGCAAAGCAGGCCATCATAGCACTCAAGATACATTCCATACTGGTCAGTTGATTGAGGCGTTTGCAGTGATTCTTAACTATCGCTATCCGACGTCCATCAGAAACGTAGTTATTTTCACCATTAAGTGCCACAATAGTTTTTGCATTTCTCTTTTGAGCCAACTTTCGTACAATCTGACCTGGATCAAGCACGCCAGTAACAGAAGCAACGTTAGGAATTTGAAATATTACATTGTAAATGTGTCTAATCTCGCTCGAATTGCCTTTTAAAATGGCAATATCGAAAGAATTGAATAATTTTAAAACAGCTTCCGTGCGATAAGTGGTGGCTTCAATTAGCACCGAATCAAATACGATCGGAATCTCTTTGTCATTGGCACGCTGTCCTGCAAGATGCATTCCTTGAATCCATAATCCGCTTAGTGTGCTAGAATCGATTAAGAGCGCGTCGGCCAATGAAACCATGTCCTCGACCTCCTCGACTACATGTGCCAGTAATGACTTGGCACCAACATGAATTGTAGCATTAGCAGTTTGACTCATCACAGTATGGTTCAATATTTGATAAATTATCGGTCGTTTTCGCCGAATCGTGTCGAATGTCTTGGCCACATCTTTCTTTAATGACGATACTGACATCGATGACATGCTAAAGATAAATGAAATACAAGTACGTACAATTTCTAGACGCGCATTGCTCAACATAAATTCAATCTGTATTCTACGTTCAATACCAATCATAGAGTAACACGCCATGCAAGTTCAAAGAGAAATAAAATATCACTAGAATCGTCTTCTTTAAGGGAGCCCCTCTTCAAAGAATCCAGTTTTTTATAATTCGATGGAAGTTGAGTTTTTGTCAAAGAAAGATGCAACGAAGTTCCCTCTTTCAGAATATATATAGGTTTTTAAAAAGAGACCAAGTTTTAGCAGATCTTCGTAGGGTATTTCCAGCTCACTACTCGATTTTTGGAGAGATTTTGGCTATTTTTGAGAACACTATTTTGCTACTTCTATCAACATGGAATGGGCATTTTTATATGAAATAGTATGAACCGTGGTGCTAGCTTACGTTATCTATTGCGTGTTTTCAAAAGTTTCCCATAACTATTATCAATATCCCATTATTTCCGGATTGGAATGAAAAAAATCAATTTCTAAACTTATTTATTATTTTTCTCAAAAACATAGTTTTTGATCAGAAAAATGGAAATAACTTCTGCACGATTCAAGATAATACCAATGTGTTTTTTGTGTTAAAGGTCTAAGCGAGAGTAAAATTTTGTCCGCCCAGTTTTTTTATATATGATTTCTGCAATAAGAAAAGCGAGATTTAATGTCATGCAGTGATATTTTTTTTGGCTTATTTCGACCTCATGTGTACTGAAACGATCATCAAAAAATGAATGGAAACAAATTTCAAAATTCTATCCGATGAAAAATTGCGCATTGAAGTTAGCTTTAATTTGAAACCATCCTGAGCACTCTATCTCTCGTCATAAAGAAGTTATAAGGATTCTCTTGCAGGCTAAAAATGGACTATAAATAGGCCAGAAGTTCCTTCTACTCATATCGGGCTGAAATTTTTACTGGAAGTGTTTCTCACTACGATCATTCATTTCTGAAAATATCAGCCTAAACGGATCATCCTACGTGGCATGTCGATGTTGAGGGAGAGAGGCGCTTAAGGCAAATAGAAACTGTTATGTTCAAATGGACGTATCAATATCGGTAACACTCGATATAGATTTCGATCCACATAAAAAAAGCTGATATTTTCTCTAATCCTCTTCAAATCTACAGATAATGATTCACAATTTGACGTCGGTTACTGATCATTCGAAGAATGCTATTTGCATAAGATCATATGCATGCATGTGTCTTGGCGATGAAACAAAAAAGACGGAAGATCAGAAACGCAAAAAGACGTCGTCTACACAGCAACAGTAACAAAGCACTGATTGATATTCGAAGAAATGAAGAAAAAAAAATGGAGCTTAGGAAGAAAGAAAATAAGACTTACGTGAGAATAAATGAATAACGACAGTCAATAAGAAGTTTGCTGCATATCTTCCACATAAAAAGCAGCTTACATGGCTGTTTTCTTACACTCAACATCCCTAAGATATATCATTCCATGATTTTAGTTAGTATTCCATAGGACTCCATCATCAAATGTGTAAATATGTTTAGCGATAGATATGTTGATTTTTTTGGCAGTATGTCAGCAATAAGTGTATGTACATTGGCGTGTGTTCGTTCTCCATTGTCCGAGTAACATAAGAAGCCAGGCATGTACTCAGAAAGAGCGTGAGGAAAGAGAAGACGCATAAGCATACCCACACCCTCAAGAATGAAAAATGACTTACGAGGGAGCGTATTCAGATGATTAAAAAGCTTTTGAGCCCATATTTTGCCCAGTTGGGGCCCTATAGACTAGAACAAACCACAAAAGGTTTGTGCTGAGATTGAAATCTGACTGAGATATTGAATTTCGAAGTTATAAGCATTTTAAGCATTTTTCACCACATTTTATTTTTCTTAATGTTTTTGCTAAATGTTGTTCTGACTTGAAAATTTTTTAATAAATACCTAACATGAATTCTCTGATTTTGCCAAAAGAATAAAATCTTTATAGCTCGCCAATACCAACGTATCAAATGTTGAGATTATTTCGCTGCCCTTGAAGACTACTTTATCTACTGTTTCAAATCTAAATGTTCAGTCTACTTATTGTATTTATTTTTGATACAAGATGTTTGTTTAGCAATGAAAATGATATTCTTCGACGAAATAAGATATACAAAACAACTGTCTGCACTGAACACAGTTAATGAAAGAAGAATGGTAACAACCAGACACATGACACACATGAGGTTCAAAATTAAAACACTCACCTTTCACGGTTAAAAAATCGTCGGAATGATTATCTGTATAACCGGCGGCAAACCAAAAGAAAAGAATCATTTTTTTGAGAACGATACCAAATAGTTGATTGTGTATCGACGAATTCAGGTTTATGATATTGCTTCTTTCCAATAGATTGATTGAGACTTATAGATGGAATATGCATGATGTCATGGCAATGAAAGAAGACAAGAGATGAACTGCAAATGATGTCACCACTGAATAAAATAGTATACAACTGATAGACTGTTTTCCATGAGTGAGCACATGTCTTCACCTTCTTATCTGTTCTTTCGCCTTTGATCAGCCGAATCAATGGAAGGAAGGATAGAAACAAATCTATTCACTGACCTCAAAAAATGAAAGTTGTGTTAGAGATGAAAAGAACTATAGATTTGATACGTTGACATTGACGAGCTATAAAGATTTTATTCTTTTGGCAAAATCAGAGAATTCATGTTAGGTATTTATGAAAAAATTTTCAAGTCAGAACAACATTTAGCAAAAACATTAAGAAAAATAAAATGTGGTGAAAAATGCTTAAAATGCTTATAACTTCGCAACTCAATATCTCGATCAGGTTTCAATCTCAGCGCGAACCCTTTAGGATTTGTTCTAGTCTATAGGTTCCTTACCACTGGACAAAATAAGGACTCAAAAGCATTTAATCATTTGGATATCTTTCCTCGTTAATATATCTATTTTCGCATGCTTCCTCCATTCCATATTACGAATATATGTTCCAATATACAACTATTTTTGTCTCTTCCCTCTCGATTCTACTTTGACGTCATTTTTTTCATTCAATTCATAACAAATAGCTGCAATGAAGAAGGCACGCTAAAAATACCAAGTGTTTGGTATTTAATGTGTCGTCAAAAAAATGTTAACATAATCATCAAAAAGACTACCCAGTCAGACAAAACTAGTAAAAAAATGCGTAAAAACGGGCCCAAAAACAAAGGCGTTCCAATTCGTTAAAAGCGCACATTTAAACGCGTTTTTACATGTTTTATTTTTTGAATAAAATAGATACTATAAGGTAGAGAGACAACTCACCACATCGTGATCACTAGAGAGTTAGTTGAGACTATATTTTTTCTAACTATTTAAACTTTAAATAGTTAGAAAAAATATAGTCTCAACTAACTCTCAAGTGATCACGACGTGCTGAGTTGTCTCTCTACCTTATAAAATTTAGTTACTTTATTTAAATTGGAATTAATTATATGTGGATAAATAACTGAAATATACGCAAGTTCCGTAACATTCTTTTTTTTTATCGTCTAACAATATTCTATTCTAATGTAAGATATGCTTTGAAGTCATCAACTATTCTCTCATTCTACTATTGTCTAGCTACAAATCTATGACCGAAATAAAAAAAATAAAAAACTGATTGTTATGAAAGAGAGTGAATAAAAAAAATGGAAACTTGATATAGTTGTTGATGCTAAGTCAACTGTTCATATGACTAAATAATCTAACACAAGGTTGACTGATATACTGAACTTATTTCTTTTTCTTTACGCGAGAATCGTTCTCCTATGGCTATGCTTATCCTATCTTGACTGGATAAAAAGAAAACTTATGTGTATGAGAATATTTCTGCAGTATAATGCATGTAATAGATTATCTAGCAGAAATAATATCATAAGGCTACTCGAATGAAAGAAATATGAGTTACTGCATAAAAGAAAACTATGAAAAAAAAAGAATAAACATAAGAAAGAAAGAATTTGAATGAAAGAAATCGATTGGGGAAATATTAATCATTCATTAGAAGTTCTACTGTAAGAGTTTCAAATCTCTAGAACTTCTGAGACAAATGCTGATTTTATTTCTCATAATGTACTTAAGTATTCAACGAACTGAATTGTCTCTAAGTAAGTGTACTAAAACAGTCACTGTATTTTGAAAGCTAATAGAATAATGTCATTAAAACAGGTAAGATGATTCATTAAGCGAATTTGGACAAGAAAAAGTCGACTCTGTTGCTAACGCCACTTCTGTATACATACATATGTATGTGTTATTCGAGAAAGTACTACTTGTACCGATCCTTTTATCTTCATAGCTATAAACTTTAGCATCAATTTGAACCATCACTAATCCTGTTCAGATAGACATTTGTTGTTTTAAAACAATAAAAACATTATTACTGTTTTGATCTCGAACCCGATATATTAGAATGTAGAACTGTCTTATTTATTCATTCATCCATAATAATGATAAATAAATAAAGATGTCCACCGATTTAATTTATTCATATTTATTATCAAAATTGATGTCTTGTAAGCTTTGATCCATGTAGACATGAACCAAATAGTTTCTTCTACTCACAGAGATTTAGTAATATTTTCAACATGAAATATTTTCAAATTTTTTGAATTCTATACTTTGTTTATCTTGTATACGTTCTTTTCAGGTGATGAAATTGATTATACAAGTGATAAAACATCGAATGATGAAGATGATATTAAAGGTAAGTATTTTACTTTTGGAATGTATTTTAATTTAATTTTTAGATGTCCATACAAATAAATCAGCAATGACATATGAAGTTAAAGATTTTAATATTATTATTTCGACTTTCAATTTAAAGATTGCTTTTTGTTATTTATAGGTGTTGATGAAGAAATGAAAATAATACCAAACATAGAGAAAAAACTGAAGCAAATAGATGAAAATGGAAGTGAAGTTGATTTTGATAATGATGAAGAAGATATTTCTGATTTATGTTTGAGATTAGAAATATTTTCAAATGTGAAGAACATTTTGCTTTTATCGTACAGATGAAAATGATGAGAAAAATGGTACAATAACAGCTGATAATTTGTCCAATGTCGGTAAATTACTCAAAAATGATGCAGGTAGTCAAAGTATGAATTAAAATTATATATTGATGAACAAAAACGATAATTTTAGACATGGAATCAAGTTCAGATGATGATAATAATCTTGACGAGTTAGATGATCCTAAGAAAGAACCAACCGAATCGATTTCTGTAAATAGAATCAAATCTTATTTTCGATTCGAAATTTAATATGTCTTTTTATTTAGAGTTTTATTTATATTCATTTAATTCTATCTGAACAAATTAAAACTGGTAAATATCGTTTTATAGCACTGTATATATATTTGTCAAAGTCAATTGAATACGAATATTTCTCGGAAGTTAAGACAAACGATAATAGTGATCAGAGTAAAAAAGCTTTGATAAAAGCTTTTTTTATTTGTATCGCATTGGACATATGCGTTCAAGAAGGCGGCAAAATAAATAAGAATAAATAACTTTATATCGACTATGTTGTTTCGCAAGATGAAACCTCGTCAAATGATAAATCGATTTTGAAATGAGTCTTACTTAATAAGATCAATTCTGTTGATACTTGAGAAAGTTTACAAAGATTCATGCTCATGAGTATGTCTTCTTATGCTATGGATATTCTAGTGCATTTTTTATAGGATCGTATGATCTACCTTAGGTGATATTCAGGATCAGCTTTCGAATTCAAATATTATACAAATAAAGTTCTCAATAAGATTAGTACAATATGAAAAGATAAGACTTTTCTAGTATTTCCTATCTTAAAACAGTGGATATTGAACATTTTTGTATGAGAATAAACAAATATTTGTGATATATTCCGGAAAGAAGATACTACAAAGTCAGACTGTTTCAAAACGAACTAATACTACTAAGAACTTTGTTTGTATAATGTATGAACTGAAAAGTCGATTCTAAAGATGATTTGAATGCAGCTCTGATTCATGTTGACAAAATTAGTAAAACGATCATAACTCAAGAAATACTCATGAACACGAAAACTTTAAATATTTTAATCTGATTATGACTTATCTAATGAGATAAAACTCATCCTAGAACGAATTTATTCCTGAATAAGATTCTTCAGTGAAAATAGTTAGATAACAACTGAGATCATTTGAATTTTATTCGTTTTCGATTAAACGAACATCAGATATTAGCGAAAAACTGCTCACAGTAAAAGTATGAAACAAAGGACATATAGACATTGTCTAAAAAACTTGGAGTAAATTAAGCTATTTCAATGGATACAAAAAACAAAAGGATATTTATATTTAAATTTTAACCTAACAACAATTCCAATGAATAATATTCTTTTTAAACCTTATTACAATATTATAAAAATTTCAAATTTCCATTAGATTAAAACCTTTTAGTTTCAATAATCACTATATTTTTCTGTCCAATCAACTAAAAGACTTAATGTAACAATATATTCAAATGATTTTAATTTTAGAAAAAGGTCATAAGAAAGCAAAAGAAAAATAAATACGATGAATTAAATCTAAAGTTATGTCTTCATCAAGTACATCATCAAATCCTATGTTTGTTTTTTTCTTTTATTTCCTGATTTAAATATTTATGATGATATATTTTAGTGAAACAATTACTGAAGATAAAATTCGTAATTTACTTTTATGAAAACATTATATGACATTTACTGAATTAATTCAAAACTTTTTACCTAAAACAGAAAATTTATGAAGAAAAAAGAAATCAAAAAAAAGGCATTGTTCAAAAATTCGCAACAATTCTAAAACGTATTAATGTTGAAAAAAAAATGATCGATGGTATAAAACATATTAAACTTAAAACAATTTAAGAGATTTTCCATTCATCAATACACAAATGTATGTTTATGTTAAAATTTGACTTTTTCAAATTTCCTTGTTTAAATAAATTAAAAAAAAGAAATTTACAATCAATACGAAAGGAGAATATTAACATAAGAAAAAAATTGAATAAAATCATATTTAACGTCAGAAATAATAAGTTTTTTAGTCTTCTTAGCACGACATTTAATAAAACCAACAGCATCGATTTTTCTGCCATGGCGTGACCTCTTTTGAGATCGAATAGGTTCTTATTTCATTCTCATTAATTTTCTCTTAGTTGTTTCATCATTTCATAATTCTTTTTTTATTACCTGCAAAAGTTTTTTATTCAGTTCGATATTATCTAGTCTTTATAGAAGAAAATCTAATAGAAAAATCTAAAAACTCCTTGATGAAATATCATAGTAAATGAAAGAAATATTTGAATAGTAATTAGATTCGAGTAAACCTGTATTCCCATATAATCGAGGAAAAACATATCATTTTATATTTTTTTTAACACGAAGTACAAGATTAATACTAGACAAAAAAAGCCGATATTATTCTACTGCGTTTATTCAAGTCGAATACGTAGGTTTTAGAAACGAAATTACAAGACTTAATTTGACATAGGTATTATATAGCATATGCGATAGCTATTTCAAACTTTAAAAATAATACAATAAGCAATATTAGTATTGAAGTTTAGTCTAATCTAATTATAAAGTGTCTGGATATGGGTGTGGAATCTGAGCTATCTTTCAACGCACACATGCACATCTACAACTCAACCGCACCTACACCCTTTCTTCGACAAATCGATGTTAGACAATTAATTCAAAATTGCTTGGAACTAAACATTTCCGATAATGACCAATTACAGTCAATGTTAGTATGAAGAATTATGGACAACGAATAAAAATGATGGAGTATCAATATAAATTATTGAAAATAAATTAAAATATACATCTTAAAGAAACCAATGCTAAGATTATTAATGATCGGTTTCGATTGAAAAGCTTATAAATTAACTTGGGGTTCATGATGTTATACTATAAATATTTTTATATTTGTGGATTTTAGTTCGATCATTATCAATGAACTGCTTTCAATATATTCAAAACTCTAAAGAGTTTGGTAGCGAGTATTAGCAGCACCGCTAGATTGTAGATGATTCTTAACGGATTGATTATAATCGATTCGAAAGTGTAATCAATTCTGTTAGATTATAATCGATATTTCGTGATTTTCGACAAGAAAAAATCATAAACTACTGATGCCAATTGATCACTACGAAAAATTAATTCTAATGATAATCTTCCATTTAATCTTCGAATATCAGAATTATTAGGTTTTCACCAATTAACTTCATTTCAAATAAAATGAAAATCATTGATATAGTGATTCTTAGTCTTATTTCTTTTTACATGCAATACTATCACCAATAAATATGCAGTATTTAGTCGATCGTATTCAATGATTATAAAAAAGAAAAAACAACGCATACTTGTTATAGCGCACATTTTTCTAATCAGTCAATCGATTTCGTATCCTTTTATCGATTAAGCTGCGTGAGCAGTATAGCACAGAATAAGCAAAACTACGGTCGCATTTGTACGTATCAAACGAAATATTATAAATAAATGTGATCGGAAGGTAATTTTGAATATGAATGAATGAATACAAACCAAATGTTATGTTATGAAGCATAGAATAGCAATACAATACACTACTTTAATCTTTATCATGGAAGGACATCGATATATTACAAATTTATAATGGTAGTGAATATATAAGATTTCGAAATAATGCAACATGTAAATGTAAGTCTTCGATAACTGCAGTATTTTCAAAGTGTTTTTTGGTCATGAGTGTCGAACAAATTTTTTGAGTTCTTCAATGAAGCTATTATCAGTGTATGAATTGATTTTCGCATCATCGTTAGGGGTGTTACTTTATCTTTAGTTTATGAAATAAATATAAATACAATCTTTATATTTATAAAATAAAGATAAATAAATTCTTTACTTTCGAAAAATAAAGATAAAATAAAGAACAAAGAAAAATTTTTTCTATGATAGGTGACTAGACAAATACCCAGTGTAACAACAGGATCTGTGAATTAATAATTTTTCTTATTACTAACATCGTTTCGATATGTGATATTATTAGAAAACGAAGCTGATACATGACGAAATATATGCAAAAACCCCTTCTGTATATTTTCTTTGTGTCGACGATATCATAACTTTTTGTAAACTATTTGGTGCAAAGTAAAAATTTGGATTCTCATAGAAAAAAAAACTTTCTTTATTATTTATTTTATTTTTATTTTTGGAAATAAACAATTCATTTATCTTCATTATATAAAGATAAAGAAAATCTTTATCTTTATTATAAATAAAAATAAAGTAACACTCCTAATTATGGTAATTGTTTTCCTTGTGGGAAAAATTTTCAAAATTGTTAACGAAAGAAACAGCAAAGATTAGTTACTGTAAAGACGTTCGCCTTACAAAATATCTAAAATAACGACTATCTATCCTGTTCCTGAATATTGCTATAGAAATACGACTGCTCAATATTGTATTTTTGTATTATTCAAAAAAGATCTGTTTCGCTGAAAATTAAAAACGACGTTGCTTAAAAAAAGACGTGCTACAGGGTATTTTAGTGAAGCGAGGTCTTCTTAAATGGGTATTTGAAGAAGAATGTCCTAAGCATAACATAATCAGACTGAACAGTTTTAACAGCGCATTAGCTAGTTTTGATTAATTTCTTTTACGTAATAAAACTTCTTGGAAGTCATTTGAGAATATGAGTACAAAAAGTCAAGGTAGCAAGTAGGCAGAAATGCAAATATTTCGATAGTGGCTAGTTCTCAAGGACTGTTTACCCTATTTTCAGTCGTCACAAACAGTTGTAACCCACAAGCATTTTGATTTTTAAGCTTTCTACGATAGTGATCCGATGGTAGGCAATTATGTAAGAAGGTCCACCACTAAACGCTCATATCGATCTTTTTTTTTTAATAAAGGGTCTCAAAATGTCGCTGTATCTAGAATTACTGATCAGAACTTTTTGGAGTACTGCGAACAAATACGATCATTCAGCGTCTCGGTTTCTGTATCATTGAAGAACACTGTGAGCACTGTAGTGTGAAATATGGGAACGTGTACGAAAAACCAAAAGCTGTTTGTATTTAGCAAGAGCATTAGCCATGAAAGAACTGTAGTGTCCAGATTCCGTGTAAATTTTCTCTCTCGGTTCACAATTACGTTAGACTAGCAATTTTAAGTTTTCTATCATTCGACGAATGTGGATGTGAACCGGTAGGTATGGGTGCGCATCTACAGCTCAGCCTCATCTACACTCAAAAATTACGTTAATATTTGAGATAATTCGTGTCTCCAGAGTCATTTGAGCTTAAACTTTTACATTATCTACTACATGAGTACCACTATACATTAAAAAGATCTCAGCTCGCTTCAGTTTATTTTGACTGCAATAGTGATTTTTTTCCGATAGGATGTCTCCTATGACTGTGATAGTAAAAAAGTGCGATCTATACAAAAGCAAACTAGAGGCACAAACATTTTTTTAGAGTCGACATTATTCATCAAGGTCTAATAGGTGCACAAAGTCCTGATTTAAAAGCGAATGAGCATCTGAGAATGGTCCGTTATTAATTGCCTAATTTTTTTCCCAAGAGAGAAATGGAAATTTTTAAATTGTTTTTTCATAAAAAGAATGAAATCTAAGGAAGCTGACATCACAGCAGTTGTATACTGTTTCCAAACCGAGAAAAAATCCATGATTTTCGACTAGGTCCTTTGACTATAGAATTATGATAAATGAAAATCTTCTTCTTCAACTATGTGATAAAACTAAAATATACTACGATTTCATTTCGATTACACATAACACTAATATAAATTGATAAGAAAAATGCGTTCTTAATTTTATTGAAAAGATGAATAAAAATACAAATAAAAACAATTCGTCGCATCAAGGCAGTTTCTTGGCAATCTAGAATAATAACTATTACGAATGGAATTTATCAGAAGTATGCTAGATAATCTCACAAAATAAAAAATATGAGTAAATTGCTTCCATTTGTAAATTTTTCAAAGAAGTAAAAAACCTTTCCTTGATTCATAATGATATTGTCATGTATATGTCAAAAACTAGTCAGTTTTAATAAAGACAACTGACTTGAATGTTATATGGTTTGAAATTCTAATTAATTTCTATGAAGAGATAGATTTTATTTAACGCATAGTTACATTAAATAGCAACTGCATAGACATCCATATGCTGTCAGTCTAGGAATAAGTGAATTGACTCTTGATGAACGTTATTTATTCATATCTAAATTTCTATCACTACCTATGATGGTAATTAAAAGAGCATTTCACAAGAGAAAGTCTACCTTGTTTTCGATCCAGCACATAAAATCTAGAATCTATACGCAAAATTCCAATTAATACAACAAAAAAAAGTTCAAAGATTAAATTTCCGTTCTAGAAACAAAGAAGTCTTTCAAAATGCAAAAGAGTTGAATGTTGTTTTTGACATGACTGAAGAAAACTTTCTCAAGAACTCTGCTCACCACTTACTTGCAAGGACATTTACACTCAGCTTCAATAAGTTCATCAACAATTTTCATGAAAAAACCTACGACAATGACTCATATGAGTCTTTTTACAACAGATTTAATAATCTTCCACGAAAACTCACTCGAATATCCAAAAATCACTCTTCTAGGTAACATTTAGATAGCTCTATCGAGAACATTTTTGAATACTGTTCAAGTATCCTCTACAA